CTAGCTTTTCATTCATGTTCTAAGGCTTCTTTGAATTCATTCATTACTTTTCTTTGAAAAGGAGTTAATTTGCTGATTACTCTTCAGTTGATTTGCTGATTACTCTTTGGTTAATTAATAAATTCTATGATTACTGAATATTTGCGAATGTAAGTCATGGATTAATTCGAATATTTATGTTTTCATTTAATTGCTATTTTGATTTTTTAAAGGAAGTTAAAGGCAACCCTACCAAAGGCTGTCAATAAATATCTTCCCTAATAATACACCATTTCTGAGCGCCGGATGATTTATTGTAAGGGGGGACGTCGTGATTAGGAGGAAGGGATTGCATTATTTAGTGTTTAGGGACTAGGGATATTACTATTGCGCCACTAAAGTTTAAGTTTAGGGTTGGGGGATATTACCCCCATAAAGGAGTCAGTAGACTTCCATGCGGGCTGACAAGTCTCTTCCGACTGTCTCTGCAGACATTCAAGCCGGATTCCGTTCCAGTGCAGCCATACTTGTCATACTGTCATCACCCTTGGCACCGTGATATTCGTAAGCGTCGCCGCAGCGTCGCCGCAGCGTCGCCATGCGTTGTCATTATTGTTCACAAGCAACAAGTCACGACGAGCTCTCGGCCAGAAACACGATGCGTTTGTCGTTCTTTGGTGCAGGAAAATGGCAGAACTTTACAGAAAGTGGTCCAGACCAGGGATCACCCACCTTTCTGTGCTTAAGACCATTTGGCTGCCACGCTTGAGTGCCTTTCAAAGCAGTATGGCTCCTAGGGTCAGTCAGCAACCTTTCCAAATTCTTTTAGCACAAAATACAAATGCTCAGGCCCCTTATGCTGCTTGCAAACTGACAATGTTAGCGCGGCATTTGCTCGAGACAACCTTGCCAAACCATAATGTTTTCAAAGCATGGAACGTGGCAATAATCCTTCCTTCCCCAATCTGTAGCAACCGAGTCTTTTTGGCGGTTAAATGTTTTGCATCCCTGGGGTTTGGGTGTAGATGGCCAGGGCACCGCTTCGTACCAGTTGGGCAAGCAGTGCTGGGCGTTCGTCCAAATAGGCCTGGGATCAGATTGCCGTAACTGATGTAACGACTATTACCACTCTCTCTGCTGCTTCTACTGCAGCTGCGGCTATTACTGCTACTGGTGCTACTACGGCTGCTACTACTACTA